TTGGAAGTTCAAATGATGATGCCTGCTGTGATATTGAAATTTCTTGTTGAATGATCAATAGTTAAGCAGGTATTGCTGTAACTTTATTTTTTTGTTTTTTCATATTTTTGAGTTGAATATAAGTATTACTATTTATACTTTTTAGATGATGTCAATGTCCAAAAGATACTCAGGGCTCTGTTTTGTATACATCTTGTACAAGTACTTTTTTGAAACGGGATTCACCAGATTTATAGAAAGATAGTATGTTATGAATATCTGTCTTACTAATTTCTGGAATATTTTTAAACAGAAAATGTGTTTCAGGATATGAACAATTGAAGGTGGTTGATAATTCTGTAACTAGAAGCCAAAGTGAATCTTTATATGACTTAATTGTACAATCATTTTGGATGATCACAATATCATCGATATATTCTGCATAAAGTATCAATAAATAGTTTTTTTTTGCTTTGAATAGCTGCAATTTTTGACATCATAGTCTGCTGATCTGTAAAATTACCAGTAATATTTTGTTTAATATACTTTACACCATATGTTTCAAGTGCTTTATCAAAAGCAAAATAGTGTTTTTCAGTTGTGAGATTTACCGCACATACTTTTTGTAATATATTTTGTAGCTGTAAATCATCATAAACCTGAGCTAAAAAATGTGTCACAGAACTTGCATATTTGAACTTGCTAGCGGCAGAAAAAAGGTGTGCAAATGCAGCTAAGCTTGCTATTTGTATTTTATAATTTCCTCTCCTAATCCCAATTTTGTGACCTATAAAATATTCTATCCAGCAAAAAAAAAGAATCTATACTTTAATTAAGTTGTTATTATTACTCATAATATTATTTATAGTTTTAATTTTATTTTTAACATAATAATATAGAGCGATCCCAACTACAACCCAAATTAATTCCAGAACACGACATGTTGCTTGGTAATCTATTACATGCTCAAATTTGTCAAGATATCGTACTCCAAGAGTTGCTACAAGATTAAATATTCCATATCCAGAAAATATTGTAATTAAGATACAATACATATCTTTAGATGTGTGCTATTGTCCCAAGAGAAGCTGAACATCATTGTGAGTTTCTTTGTAGGAAATTAATCTTCCGAAAATAGCTTGATCGCACACAATATATAGATTATTGTTAATGCTGTTAAGTAAATCATCACAATACATTTCACACGCTGTGTAAATGTTATCATTGCAATTAGGTGGATCACTAGATTTCAATATTACAATATTTGGGGGTAAAATATTGCAGCCAATAGGTATTTGTTTAACAATTTTTGAATGTATATCTTTTATATCGAAGTCATTTATATAAGTTTCTAACATTTTATTAAAAATAACTTTATATATTGTTAAAATATTATTTGTAGTTAAAGATTCTCCAAATAGCAGTTGGTCAACAAACTCTAGATCATTATTTAAATCAAAAGAGGCAGGTAAAGTAAATTGAAAAACTATCTGTAATGTTGCATGAAAAGTTCCTCTAGTAATATCAAAAATATTTCTATATGAAAATGTAGAGGCTTTGAAATCAATATTATCAATTACTGCCAAATTTCAAATGTTTGGCCCTTCAATTAAGTTTTTTCTAGGATCTGTATTCAGTGTTCTGAATCTTTCAAGTTGGTTTTCATGCTATTTAGTATATGAGACAATAGATACTGAACGAAGAATCTCTCATAGATATGGTAATAAATTTGGTTTTTAACATATTGTAGATTTAATATGTGAAAGCCAAATTTTTGTTCCAAAAAAAGCAATCATAAGTAGCATAGAAGTTATCAAAGGGTTGTTTTTGAAATTTGATTTGTATTAAGCAATTTTTGAGAAAGTCCATGTTGAAACCTTTTAGCATTAACAACTTTTAGTTTATTCTGATAGAGTGTTGTAAGAAGGGTTTAAAAGAAACTATAGATAATATTAGACAATGCATCAAAGTAATTTTATATTAATCTGGGGTTTTTAACTAATCTATATTTTGTTTAATTTTAGAACATGAATATAAAACCTCTTTGCCTAATCTTTCCCCCATCATCAAAGCCTTTATTGGAGTTATCCGAGACTTTTCTTTAGCTAAGCTATTTAATTTAATGTTTTTTGTTCTCATTGCAATTTTAACAAGTAGTTTACTTAGAATTTTTGATGAGCTTTGTTCTACTGGCACATCATTAAAGATAGTTGTAGATATTTGGGATAAAAGCCTTTCTTGTAGTTCCTGATTATCTAATTCTACTACTGATATTAACTATTTTTCTATAAGCCTAAAAGTATTACTTATATTGTCACAGTGTTTTCCAAGCTCAGCATATGATATAAATGCCATAGCTGATTTTTTTTTTACCTGGTCTTATATGCAGATATTCACCATGTTGCTAAAAGCACTCTGAACAGACATAATGTGTACAAAAACCTGAATCTGCCTTTTATAAAATAGACCCTTCAGCAAATACTGGACAATTATGAATACCAATACAGAGTACTTGAATATTACATCTTTTGATATTCCATAAGTGATTTTTACAGTACCCCTATAGCTAAAAAAATATTTTTTTTTTTACAAAAAAGACAGATACAAATATAAAGAATACTTTTCTCAACTGAAGATAATTTTTTATGCCTGTCTTATAAAGCTTATTCTGATCAAAAATAAAGTGGTATAGCATACACCAAGTTGATTGAGTGCATGTACATCTTTTTTCCATATTCCTACTGCTTGTCAAAATCGCTACAAATTTGTCATGCTATTGTCTTAAATTTTTTTGACTGCATGTGTATCTACTTCCCACATTTTTGTCAAAGTCATTATAGATTTGTTGTACTATTACAGTATTTGATCTTGCCATCAATAATATCTACAACCACACATGGTGTTAAACCTGAATTCTGCATGGGTGCATATTCAATTTCTATATCTGTTACATCAGGCATGGTCAGAGAAGGCTCATTGTAAAGGTATAAATCTTCTTCTTCAGGTTCATCCAAGTTAATTTTTTCTATTTCATCACTATTATTTACCATAATTCAAGCATTTTCAATAATAGTTTGTTTGATAGTGAAAGCACCCTCTTCATAGCTTTCTTCAGGTGCATTGTATTTCTCCATATAAGTAAGTTCAGAATTAGCCATTTGTCTAATACTGTATGTTATTTTCACTAAAATAATATTATATGTTTGTATAGAAGTTTTGTAGATTAAACTGGTTATTATAAATGAGTTGTTTTAATAAGAATTGATACCTTGGGCGATTAGTAATATTTATATCTTTTATTTCTTATATGAGCTTTAGTATTATTTCATTTTTACATATTTTTGCTGACTATTATTCACAGACAATGAAATAACGATTCAATGTTTTAGGCTAAGTTATTTTTTTTTGTTTCTTATATGAGCTATTTTTTACTGAATTCATGTAACAATGATATAACAATTTAATGTTTCAGGCTAAGATATTTTTCTTTGTTTCTTATATGAGCTATTTTTTACTAAATTCACGTGACAGACAATGATATAACAATTCAATATTTTAGGCTAAGTTATTTTTCTTTATTTCTTATATGAGCTCTATTATTTCATGCTTACACATTTTATACTGATTAATATTCAATTCGCATGACAGATAATGATATAATGATTCATTGTTACAGGCTAAGTTATTTTTCTTTATTCTTATATGAGCACTATTATTTCATGTTTACGCATTTTTTACAAATTAATATTTAATTTGCATGACAAACAATAATATAACAATTCAATGTTTCAGGCTAAGTTGTTTTTCTTTATTTCAGGCTAAGTTATTTTTCTTTATTCTTATATGAGCACTATTATTTCATGTTTACACATTTTTTACTAATTAATATTCAATTTGCGTGACAGACAATGATATAACGATTCAATGTTTCAGGCTAAGTTGTTTTTCTTTATTTCTTATATAAGCTCTATTATTTCATGTTTATATATTTTTTACTGATTAATATTCAATTTATGTGACAGACAATGATATAACAATTTAATGTTTTAGGCTAAGTTATTTTTTTAATTCTAAAGAAAAATAGTTTCAAAATATTAACTATCAATTTTAGACAAATTTGTAAAATAGCTTTACTAGAACAAAATGCGTTTCAACAAGCTAAGCATTTTAAAACACAAAGCTATGATTGAATATACCTTTATCAAAAAGAAATTATATCATATTTTGTGTGGAGTAAAATACCCGGTGGCATAAGAAAATATTTAATTATACCCAGGTACCATATTAAGAGGGTACTGTAATAGAAGTGAGTACAATACTATAGAGGTACTATATAATTGATCATATTATAAACCATGTATAGTACCTGAACCTTTTATATTACTATTATTCTAAGGGGTATTTTACTCTACAAAATATAGTACTTCTCAAATTTTGAACTGTTTTTTACTAAAATAGAATGAGATTCATTGGGTTGAATATTTCTTTATTAAAGTGATTAGAAATTATATGTATTAATTAACAAACAACAAATTTAATCAATAAACTGTTTTAAAACATATTTTTATATAGTTTTTGTCTAATTTTAAATCTTTATTTCAATATAAAATAAATCATTTAAATACATATTTTTCTATTCAATGATTACCATCACCTTTGTCTGCTATGCCTTTGTCTGTATTAGCATTGTGAAGGTCAAAGTAACCTTCTAGAAACTGCACAATCAATGTAGTATATCTAAATTTCTGCTAAGTTGAAGATAGTTTGAATCCACACTAAAGTGGATAATAAATTACTGTGCTACAAAAAAAAAAAATTGAGAAATATAGGGAAATACTTTGATGAAAATACTAGTAGCAAACTCCCAGTCAATACAAAACACCATAGTACATAGACCAAATTTCATCATCTCATCACGACTCAATTAAAGTCTACTATATTAGAGTAAAGGGCAGATTTTGGTATTATAGATTTCTTCCATGGCACCTCAATAAAATAAAATAAAATAAAAATTAGTGTAAATGGCAAAACTTCTATTAAAAGACAGTGTTAAAAGATTTACCGTAAAATGCTCTTCTTCTAGTTGAAGCCTCTGACATGGCTATAGCTTCTACCTTTTGGCTTATTAGGAACTTCAAGTGCTATGTACGATATTAGTTGCTCAAACAAAAAATGAATATTGAATTGTCAAAAGATCTCTTATCATAATAATATAACATCTCATTTTAAATTTAGCTGTTGGTAGTGAAACTTGCCAGTGAAACTAGCTGTTGGCCAAATTCTAATTTTGCTAATACCAATCTAAATCTAAATTGGGCCAACTCTAATTCTAATTCAGAACAACTTAGTAAATTGATTGTTGAGAAGAAATGGGTTTATACCTGCCAATAAAAGTTTAATAGAAAGTGCTTAAAGGCATTTCTTAAAAAAAAAAATAAAATAACTTTCCTAAATCATTTTCAATAACAAAGTAGACTTGTTTAGTAAAGCTGGTCTTAGAATTTGTTAAAGTACTGTAATAGTATAAGTTCTCAGATTTACTGTTGAGTATAGCAGGCTGTTGAAAAAATAAATAAGGCTACTAAAATCGGCCTTCGGGAGAGTAGTTGTCATGAATTTAATTAGATCTATATATATTATAAAGATTCGAATAGAGTTAGAATACTCAAACTTTATGCGAAGATTCTTAGCAATTTAAAAAAAAATTAAAAGCTGGGATTTTTACAATTTGATAGATAAATATCTCATGTATATTTTCAGCTTAAGAAACTATGGACATTTGGTTTCACAAAAATGTAGTTATCATAGAAATACCTTTTATAAATGTGAAATTTCTATATAAAATTTAGATGATCGATATCAAATTTATCATATAAACTACATTTGGAACCCTGTAAATGAACATGTCTCATGACTAATATCAATATATATTTATATTATAATTTTAAATTTTAAAAAAAATATTCTTAATTTTGAAAATTTTGATCAAAAATTCAAAATCAAGTATATTTTTCTTAAATTTTACAAATATAA